AGATAAGAATTCATGTTTTTCAATGTGTTCAAAGAATGGTCTTACTATCTGAAATGACCTTTTTCAAGTTGATAAAACTATGAAACTACTGCACCAAGAAAAAACGAGAAGGAAAAGAAAACAACGAAAATACAGTAATGATGTTAACAAACGTAGATCAACTAGGTGGCTATTGAGTATAGACTGATTCTAGCAACTTCAACTATTTTCAGATTTTATCTTAAGTTCATCTTCTCAGCACGTTAATTTCACAGGAATACCTTTCTGAAGGAACTGGGGCTGTGGCAAAAGTTGCGCCACCCTAATATAGTGCAGTTCCTTGGTGTTCTAAAGCACTCCGATCGGTTGATCTTCCTGACGGAGTACCTTCGCGATGTGGGTATCCAATATTCAATCATGACTGGACCTTTTTGGTATTTGTTTCGTTGACTCCAGACTAGAATTTGCTCCACTGATTTTTTCCTCCGATATGAACGTGTTAGGGAAGTTTGTATGACATCCTAAAACGGAAGGGAAGACTTGATCAGGAAACAGCAGTTTCGTATGCTTTAGATATTGCAAGGTAAGATGTTCAAAGAATGCTTCCTGTACTTCAAGTTTGCAAATAATAGCTTAAGCATTTTCTTCGAACAAACTTGAAAAAAAAAAAATTATGTCGTTAATTCAACTCCAAGCATCCTGAAATGTATTTTTGTTACAGCAAAGATGATGTTGTTATAGAGGAGATTTTGCCAAGAAGTTGAAATTTAGCTTTCTTGACTTGATTAGACCATTATAGAATCTATCTGACAAAAACTCTGTTTCTTTCCATTAAAGCTGCCTTGTTGTTGAATTCTCCACAGAAATTACAAGCAATTCGATGCATTAGCATTTCCTGTTGTGTATTACCCTATTAATTATTCTGTGGCCTCCACACGCTAAACCCTCTGTCATTGATCATGAAAACTTGCAGGGGCATGAATTATCTGCATCAACACAAACCACGTGCTATTATACACCGGGATTTGACACCAAGGTATATTTGCTATCTAGATATTTCTGTTTCATGCTGTTTGTGTTGGATACTTGGCTTGCATGTCAAATTACAAGAGTTTCTGACTCGCTTGTGTTAGGTAAATTACATCAATTTAACTAAATTCATAAGTTACACTTTTTGTACAATTAAAATTAGAATGAATCTATTAATAATACAAATCAACACCAAAAATATTTACATGAAAAACCATATAATATAGAATAAGCCAACCGTAATACACGTAAAAACTTTCACTATCAATAAATAATAGGATTACAAAATATTTTTTTTATTAGCTAAAACTATGGGCTATAACATGTAAAATTACATTGGAGCTTATTGCAACTCATATAAACTCTTCTTTAATTTATAAACTAATTATTTTATGCCTTTCACTTTAAACTCTTAAGATTAATCCATATAGATCTCCTAAGACATGTCACAATAGCAGTAGAACCGAGCACCGAGCATAACTCAGATTGAAAATATCTTAAGCAAGGGTAAAAAGATTTTTTCAAAATTAATAGCTTTCTTCTGACCGAAATATTTTACAACTAATCTTTCATATCTTGACTGTGAGTAATTTTCATCAATTTTCAATATAAACACCCATTTATTTTAGATTGCTCTCTTGTTTTTAGAAAGCTTTACTAACTTAAAAGTGTGGTTTTCGTGTAAGAATTTCATTTCTTCTTACATGGCTATCAATCACTTAGTTTTCGTCTTATAAGACATAACTTTATCAAAGAATTTTAGCTCTCTCCTATTAGTAACTAACATATACTCATGAGGAAAATATATAGTAGAAACATAGTGAGTTCTAATGGAATTCCTTACTTATGGCTAAATTAGAGCTTCTTGAATAATCTATTTAAAAATAATATCATCATCATCATCAGTAGTTGGCTTAGGATCATCAATTAATAGCCCAAAAAGCAAACTCCTATTATCATCATTTTACAAATCTCTTTCATTAAAAGTCATCAAATATAACTATGGAATATGTATTGAATTTGAATTTACAGGAATAAAATTACTATATTCTATTTTATCTTTTTATTCAAAATCTTTAATAGTTTCATATTCAAAAAAGACATATCTACTTCTCACAACTTTTTTTTATACATAACTTATAACCAAAGTCATCTTTTTTAAAACCCAAGAAAACACATTACTTTATCTTGTTGTCAAGCTTAGATTTTTTATTTTTAGAAATATATACAAATGCCCTACAACTAAACACTCAAAGCCATGAGAAAATTATAGAGAAAAAATTGATCATGACAATTGTCTTCAAAGTAAATTTTTCATTCAAAGTAAAATTATTACGTGGCACCACCAATATTTTGCAACTATCTAATAATAAACTCAATAGAATTAATGTTTTTATCTCATCAACTATCTCAAGATTCATCAATGATAAATAATTCAAAAACTCTTAAAATTTATTTATGTGCACTGAAGCATCAAATTCACAAGATCTCAAATCACAAAAGCTTTGTTTTATGTAATCTTTTTAGTAAAAGTTTCTTCCAATATCTTTAAAATTTTATAATAGTTATGTTCCTAATAAATATAGTTAATGGAATTAAAAGACACTCAATTTAAAACATTAACAGTTGTTTTTTTATTAAGCACATTTCATTTTGCCTTCTTTATATTGTCGGTGTTGTTTTCTTCACACTCTAGCAAAGATAAATCATTGCAATAAACATTCTATATTGTTTTGTAATCAAAGACTTTCTCAATAGCACTAAGCTAATCAAGAAATTTTTCAGGTAGAAGATGACCTTACATTAAATTCTGGTAATTCATTCTTTATATCATTTGAAGATTGAAAAAAAAAAACATTTCAATCAATTTACCTTCTTGATCTTGACAATTGACGAAAGGATTAACATCGTCGGAGTCACTTTTAGAATTTTCATAACTTGAACCTTACTCTTCTCGAGCTTGATAACATTCAATCTATAAAGAAATCATAATCTGCCAACAACAGTCACAATAATAGAATATAAACTAAAGAAAAGTAACTGTCAAACTTAAAACGTAATGTAAATAAAACATTAATAGAAGTTGTCTTCCAAGACAACTAGGTAGAAAGTTCACAATATAGCTATAATTAGCTATTTAGAAGAATATAACAGAATAACGTCAGCCAACATAAACAATATAAATGAATATTGCTCACTGCATCACTTTTCCTCCCTCCATGTATGCGAAAGGAGAAAATGACAAATGAAAAAACTCACAAAGGTTTTTTTTCAACTTAATGTTGCTAGGAATGTGTTACAAGATGAGTCTGGACACCTAAAGGTTACAGACTTCGGCTTAAGCAAAATTGCACAGGAAAAGGATGACCAAGGTTACATGATGACTGGAGGAACAGGTTCATGTAAGCCTTTCTTTCTTATTGAATTAATGTATCTGTTAGAACTAAAGATCTTCTGCCATGTAAAGATCACGTCATTTGTTGTGGCCAATGTTATGGGATACTACAGATCGTTACATGGCACCTGAGGTATATCGTCGAGAATCCTATGGGAAAAGTGTTGATGTCTTCTCCTTTGCCCTCATAGTACATGAGGTAACCGAATTCAAGACTTGTACATGGAACAATAAAGAGCATGATAGTTTACGTATTCTGACTGCATCATGATCTTGTTCATGCTGGTTTATATTTGTTGACAGATCTTCCAAGGGGGGCCATCAAATAGAACAGCACTCCCTGAGCATGTTGCAGACAAGCGGGCATTTGAAGATGCTCGACCATCTGTATCCTCATTTGTTTACCCTGATCCAATTAAGATGTTAGCTTTCCTTCTCTTTCATTGTGTTTTATTTACCAGCACAAGATAAACTGCAATTCAGCATAACAACTGCAGCCCTCTCGGTGCCTTGATTTATTTGAAAAGGCATGCCACTAGATATAACTATTAATGAAAACAGTAGTGGGGCTATGAGGAGTTTTAGGTTGGTTATATATGCTAGTCAATATTCTGTTCTGAGAATGGCATTCTGCAACTAGCTCTCATTATTTCTTGAAGTACTCTTTGGTTCTGGACACACGCACGCCATACTGCCAAGGCTTTATCTAAAACTCTACAATTTAGTTTGCTTGATTATGCTCATGACTGCTTGCTTTCACTTGATTTAGGCTTCTTCGAGAGTGTTGGCACAAGAATCCTGAAAGTCGACCAACATTTGAGGAGATAATATCAAAGCTAGAGTCGATCCAGGAGAGTTTCCAAAGTAAGAAAGACGCAGGTGGCTGTTGCTCCTGTTGCATCTTATAAAGATTTACTGAACAGCAACACATATACATCCCGACTCCAATTTTCATCATACTGAATGTGTGTTCTCCTTTTCACTCTGTATTTGATTTTTGCCTTCCCTTTTCACCATGCACCTGTGTATCTGCTGCTGCATGTGAGGCCCTACATATCCTTGGGGAAGTCTTATCTCCAGCTATCATGTATAAAAGTCGTTTGGGGAATTGTTATGGACACTCTGTCATTCACAATTTGCCATGTAATTTTCATGCACATTTGTCTCTGAAATGGTCCAAATTTGTCAAGCCAGAGAAAACTGGCGCTCCCTGCACTGCAGCACTTTCATCATTATTGCCGCATCCTCTGCCATGGCCTCAGTTTGGCCTCCACAACCAAATCACAACTTAAACAACAACAAGAGCAGAGGTGCCTGAAGATATCATTATTTCTTCCAAGTTCATGGCTACAGTGTGGCCTGAGGTTATATGGATTGGAACAGAATCTTCAGGTTGTATTTACTTGTTTCATTATCTTGGATCAAATAAGCGCATGGGGTTCGAGAATATAACAGACCAACTAATAAAAATAATAATAAAAAAAAACCCTAAAGAGATCAGCTATTCACTGTGGACTGAAAGCTGAATCAGTACTGTTGATTTACGTGGTGTTTTCATTATTTTATTTTGTTGTCATTCTTTCCTGCTACCTATGATTTTTTAAGTGTGATCCTATCATTGGTTTACATAGGATTGTGATTGATCATTTATTTAGATTAGATTTTTAAGGGTTTCTCGCATTGTTGAAAAAAGATTCTAGCGTTGAGCAAAATCAATTTTATTTATTTTTAATTAAACATAATAAAAACTATGAGGATTAAGATTGGCACTGTAACAAATTCCCAACCACTTTGTTTTTGCAACTATAGCTCCTGCGTGTTTTTAACATTTTTTGTTCCCGAAGTTTTTTAATTTTTCATTCTTAATCCTTCTTTTTATAAGATTTTAATATTTTGATTTAAAATTTTATTTTTCTTGCATTTAAATCTTTGAATTAGAAAGAAAAAAGAAGTCGTCCTGAAAAAAATAATTAAAAAAAGAGAAATTTATATGTTGATCATTATCTAATAGCCAAAATTATAATTCTAGATGTGTTTTATTTTGTGAAAGAAATTCTATTAAATTGTTTTTTACCCTTCATTTTATTGAAAAAATAGATTAATGTTGAGAAACAAAAAAAAGGTTAGTTTTTATTTTTTTTAATGAAT